TCCCGTCCCGGCAATTGGCCTACGGGCTGCGAGTTTGAGACCCCTGATCTATGTAGTCCTTTACACAAAGTCATTCCTAACTTTTACTCATTTCTGGCTGCTCAGAAAAACAAAAGCTTCTCCTAGTAAGGCAGCTGTACAGGGGCAACATATTTATTTCTGAAAAGACCATTCCAGAATCCTTGGCATTGCTTTCCTTTGAAGAACTAGGATTTGAACCTAGAACTCTTACAAACAGGCCCTCACTTAAATCCAACTTCTGTTGCTTATTCTAAGAAAAAAGAGTTGGTGTGGGGCAGAGTGGGTCCCCTCCTATGAACACTTATTGATTCTCTTTCTACCAAAACAATGAATAAAGGAGGCTGAACTGTCAGTGGGATGAATGAAATGCAAAAAGAAAAAGAACTAAAAAATAATGATTCTGCAGGCTTGGTTCCTGTGCATTCTAGAAAGCTTCTTAGGCATGGCTTTCCGAGATTTCACACACTGGTTAAGCATCTTCTGTGGTGCTTCCATGAAATTTCCAAGTAACCTCTTAGTTCTATGTCTCTATGATGTTTAGAAAGGTTTTATTTGGTTGTCTATGCTGATGGAAAATGTCAGAGCTGTACCAAAGCACTTTGGACTGTGATGGTAATGGTGATGATGATATGATGATGATGATGAGTATAATATTCTGAATGGTGTATCTGTTACATCATGGTGCAATATTACAAAGCACATCTTGGAGAAGAGGGCAATTTATGTTCTTAAAGCATATTTCTTGTGTATGCTACAAAATCACAATGTTATGTTTTAAAATATTGCATTAGCTGAGGTCACAATAAAGAGATGCCCTGGACATGGTAGATCTGTAGGCATTTTTCTTAAAACCCGGCAGTGATGGGGCCATGTAAATCTCTCTGGGAATGGATTTCCAAAGGTTTGTAGAGCCACCACCAAGAAAGCTCTGTCCCTAGTCCCTGCCAGCCTAGCAGCTCTTGCTGTGGCCCAGACAGTAAGGCCTCTGCTACTGATGCTAGTTGTTGAGCAGGCTTATATTGGTGTTAACATGGTTCCAAACAATTTATGGTTTAAGGGCCAAATCTTGCATCTTGAATTGAGCCCAGGCAGCTCAAGTAAACTATACAGAATAGGAGCAGTATGATTCAAATGCTCAGCTCCCACAGGCATTTGAGTTGGCACATTCTATCCCATCTGCAGTTTACAAACTGTCTTCAAGGGCAACCCCATGTAGAACAGACTATCTTAAGCTAACCTGGCTGCACCCAAGATCTGTGTCACTGCACCTAGGTTAATGTTCTAAAGATAAGGCTGCAGCTCCTAGTCCTGCCAGGTAAAAACCATGCCTGGCAGCCAGAACCAACTGTGCTTCCACAGACAGCACTGAGTCCAGGAGCAAGCCTAGACCACCTGCCTAAGTCCTTCAGCAGGAGTGTGATGCATTCAGAACCAGCAATTTACTCCGCATGTTCTGTAGTTTCTAGATTTCTAGCATTTAGTGCTTTTCCACACCAGGCTGTTAGTTGGCTATCTCTACTTTCAGTGTTGCCTCAGTGTTCTTTTCTTGCTTTTCTGCTACATAACCTCAATGTGGCCAGGTGGTATAGCAGAATGGCACAAATACACTAGAAGAAAAGGAACTTGCTTTCACTTTCACAATCAGATGCTTGATTTTCCTCAATCTCAAAAATTCATTGGAAGTGCTGGTTCCATACAGAAGCAAAGGGTCACGCCATCATTCAAGGAACCCATAAACAAGCATGAATAAGGAATGCGGAGTGCATAATAAAGGCCTCATGTTTGTTTGTTTATGCCAAAGTCTCTCTGGGTGCTCACAGCACAAAATAGAAATACAAATAAAAATAAATAACAGTAACAACCAATCAAGTAGTATACCATACTAGGAATGCCAAAACAGTGGCAAAGTACAGAATGTTTGTTGATGGGTGAAAGAATGAGAACAGTAAGTTACATGTGATACATGACGGTCAAAAGCAGGGCCCAGTCAGATCATTAAGACCAAGACCGAAAATCACTTTATTCATTTATTAGATTTTTCACCTGCCCAATTAGCTACACTAAATGCTACACACTAGCTACACTCTTGTTAATGCTAACCAGGATTTGCTCTTAACCAAAGTCTGGAAAGCTGGTTTAAAAACTGGTTTAAGCTTCCAGTCTGGTTTAACAGCGGGCCTTGGTTGTTGATCATCAGAGTTAAGTGCTAAGTTGCAGTAAACAAAGTTAGTGTTCCCTCTGACAGCATATCTCACATGCATAATCTGATGGCAAATTATTTGGAATTGCTTTTGAAGACAATAGGACTTACTTCCAAGTATGTATTTTAAGGATTAGGGTGTTAGATATAACCAACGTTCCTATATATCATTGAATCTAATTTGAAATTCTCCTCTTTACTTTCAGAAATCTTCAGACAGGCAAGCAATCAAACCAATGCGTGCCCTTGCTTTCTATGCCTATATTATAAGATTATAATTGTGTGGAATAAGCAATTTAACATGGATTACTTTATGATGTCTAGGATCTCTTTAATTCCATTTTTATATAGTCTGCTGCAAAAGAAGCCACCTCGCCATTTATTAATTTATTTTTAAATTAGTGCTGACACCTATTTTGGATAGGAGAGCTGAACCAATATTGCAGTAAAATCAACAAAGACTCCTGTGGCACCTAAAAGACTAACAGTTTGATTACAGCATGAGTTTTCACGGAACAGAGCTCACTTCATCTGATGCATGATCTTGATATCTGTGTTTTCTGATGAGCTGCTCTGCAAAAGACAGCGGACTAGTGCAAACATGATGCAGCCCATCTCTTAACCATGGACGAGGTCTTGGACTCAGGCTAGGCTTTTTTGTGCTTGCTACCCGTGGCTCCCCTCCATGAGGTGGTGTAGCTAGAGGTGGATGACCCTGGGGCCATCTGAAGAGCAGCAGGTAATGAAAGCATCAGATGCAAATCCCCTGATATGTCTATGGTCACGATGGTGCTATGATTAATGAGCTACAAAAGTTCAACCCATTTTTGTTTTGTTCAACCAAGATTGGCAGCCAAGTAGTGTACCAACTAGAAAGGCCAAAACAGTGGCAAAGCATGGAATGCTGGTTGATGGGTGAAGGAATGAGAATAGTTAGTTACATGTGATACATGACAGTCGAAAGCAGGGCCCAGTCAGACCATTGAGATAAAGACTGAAAATCACTTTATTTATTTATTTATTTATTTATTTATTTATTTATTTATTAGGGGTTTTTTTGCCTGCCCCATTAGCCAGACTTGTTAATGCTAACCAGGATTTGCTCTTAACCAAAGTCTGGAAAAGTGGCTTAAAAACTGGTTAAGTTTCCAGTCTGGTTTAACAGCAAGCCCTAGTTGTTGATCATAAGAATTAAGTATCAATGTGAAGTCTGGATGAAATTATGATAGGTTTGGTATGGATGCCAGAAAGGAGAGAAAAGGGGGAAAAGGAATCTGCATTCTCATGGGCCTAACCACTGTTTCATAAATCAATAAAGGGACAGTGGCTAGCACAGTGTTATGAAGCACTGAAAAAGGAAGTCTTTGCCATATTCATTTTTGTACATTTGGGTAATGTGCAAAGGAAACACACTCGCACTCCTTCTCCTCAGCAAGATGTAGACCTGCTCTGGATGTGGTGAAAGCTCTTGAAGCTCACAGTGAAGAAGATGCGTGTTTCCAAAATTTGCCCATTACTCTTCCAATCTTTCCTTACAGCATATGACACTTCCCCAAGAGAGCAATGGGCTTTACTGTGGCAACTCTAATGGCCTGCATACTTACTTTCTGATTTCTTTGAAAGGAATGAGACTTGTTTCCAACTGAGGACTGTTTCATATTTGAGTATCTCCAGAAAGTTTGAGGGGGAACTTTTTTCCCACAGCCCATGAATACCACAGGACCTCAAGCTTATTCTCAGCTATGCAAAATATGTACATAGCATCCATGCTATTGAGTGGGGGGAATGGAAAGTTCGTCCCTTATATATTAGAGGAAACATCACAGGTTTGTGGAGAATAAAGATGTGTACCTGCTTCTCCCTCCCCCATAGAAACACACCATGCTTAGGATCTGAAGGTTCAACATGCAAAGCACCCTTGGGCTTAACTGGTTAGATTGCCATGACTGCTCAGTTCATGGGTTTCTTCTACAGTTCTTGCACTGTGGACGATCTGGCCACTGTCCTTCCTTTCTGTAGAGATTTGTGCTCTCTAGAATGGATGTCAGTGTTTTCAAGTAAGCGGGTTAGTACAAACCCCTCCTGGATGCACAGCTTAGTGCGGTGAGGGGAATTAAGAGTGTCCAAGAAGCCACGAGCAATGCCACCAGGAGGCCATGCTCTCTCACGAGGCTGGTCTCCTAGCAGGGTTGCCCAGGGCAGAATGGGCAAAGCTGGGATACAGACTAAGACGCATCCACCCTCTTCAAGACTACTAGTCACTGAAGCAGTAGAGAGTTGATCTCTCTAATGGTGATGGGGTGGAAAAACTCCCGAGGGGCAGCTATGGGGCAGCAGAGGCAGTTGCAGGAGACACTGGTGGAGGATCTTTTGCAGACAGTGGCACGAGCTAATTCTGGTTAGTACTGCATGGAAGAAGGCCATGGTCAACCACTTCTGAATATTTGCGACCTTTAAAATCCTATTGATGAAACAATCCCAAATGAAACAAGAGTTAGTACCAGAAGATGAGCCTCCCAAGTCAGAAGGCTCTCAGCCAGCTACTGGGGAAGAGCAAGGGACAAGTACAAACGGTGCTGTCACTAATGCTGCTGCTAGATCAAAGCCCAAAGGAATGCTAGTAGCCGACATGCACAGAGACAAAAGGGAAGCCTGATGTCCTAGGATACATAAAGTTGGAACATGGAACATAAGAAGTATGAATCAAGGCAAACTGGAAACCATAAAGCAAGAAATGGAATGGTTAACCATCACAGTACTTGATTAGGGTTAGAGATAACGTGGAATGGGATTTTTCGTCATACAGAAAGTGTTTTACTCCAGGAATTACAAATTCAAAAGAAACAGAGTGACTCTAACATTGCAGCAAGATGTAGCCCAGGCAGTAATGCAAAGTCCAACCAAACCATGTTAATTGGAATTCTCAGAAAACCTATCAATATAACCACCTATGAAGAAGAAGAAACAACTTTGATGCAAGCGAGTGATAGCACACCAAAACATGACAGGCTGATAATCTCGAAAACAGAAAACAAAGAAGAATCAAATGCTGTGGGAGAATGTTGCCAAATTCATACAATTCCATGAAGCCAGCCATCTTCTTATTGCAAATATTTCAACCATCTAGTTTTGTTCCGGCTTGTAATTTCTTTCAACTATTCAAAAGCCTTCATTAGAAAATACCCCTCAGCTTCCTCACATTGAAGAGTCAGGACACACTAATGCCTCCTCGAATTCCAATCAAAGAGGTCCTATCCTTTCACCTTCAGTATTTTTCCTTGCTTCACCTCCTGCACCGCATAGCCAAGTTATGCATGAAACACCTCAACTGGGCTGTGCAGAAAATGGAGCTGAGAATTACCTTTCTGCTTTGCTTGAACAGTTCTGCCCAAGCTGAGTAGCGAACTGAGATTGGCTCTGGTATGTCTAAACTGGAATCTCATTGAGAGCAGTGAATTCAGGAGCCTATCTGCTCTTTCACTAACTGAATTAAGCAGAGTAAGGAACATTTACTTTGCCTGTTTGTTGAATCAACACAAGCACAACCGTCTGTTCAAAGTTACGTAGATCTAGGTATTACTTTTATTAACTATTTATTCAATAGTGGCCAGCGTCACATTAATTTAAGAGAACTGCATACTTTTTTAATTCTTTTATAAGAGAATACCACCAATAGTGACTTGCAGCAATTATGAGTGTGAGAGTTCTAGTACCATGCCTTTTAGGATAGTGCAGCTTCTACCCTGAAATTTTGGAGTGAAGTAAGCTAGAGCTGAAATAAAACAAACACTCTTTTCAAAGGCCAGCCTGCATACATCAGTTGGACTTTTTAAATCTAATTGACAGCACCATTAATTTTGATAAGCTGCTTAGCTATAATGCAGTTCAAAGTTGGTCATGTTCTTTTCTATTTTGTAAAAACCTGATGGCTTTTAATTATGCTTTTTAATTAGCTGATGACATGTATTAAAAACCTTCAATAGACCCAACTATTTTAGTCTGGTATACTAAATAATCTTTAGTTTTCAGAACTGTTTTTTCCCTCTGTACTGTCTGGATGATTTTCATAAGATTCAGTAAAAGCAAATTTCCAGGATATATGGTTGTAAGGAGGTTTCTGTTCAAAGAATGTTAAGATATAGTAGGCATTGTTTCTCTAACATGTCACTGATCCAACAAAACACATTACGACACCTCAGCTGCACTCCTCAAAAAATCAAGAGGAAAAACAAGCACTTTGTAAAAGGAACACTTACCGGAACTGAAATCTGAGGATTAGTTTTCAGTTTTCCCAGCATGGTGAAGCCATCAACATTCATCTTTCCTTTTGGCTTTATGGTTAAAGTTTGTATCTTAGTACAGTCAACATAAAGAGTGACCCCACTCCTATTGATGCCAACCATAACCTTATGCCACTGGGAATCAAACAGATTTGGCAGATCCAAAAATGTTGCTGTCTGGAGATTTCCATCAGCTCCTTTATATGAATATTCAACAGACTTGGCTTGTCCATTAAAGCTCAGCCCAACTTGTTCTTTTCCAGAGGAGTCCAAAACCTGCCAAATGCTCCAGTATTTCTGCAGTGTACTTCCAGCCATCCGAAAAGTCGTAAGAATGGAATATTCGTCAGGTAATCCATTAGGATACAAAGACCTATACAGGATGAAAATAAAGCAGACTAGCTAGGTTTGGCATTGGGATAAATGGTCACCAGAGAGGGGCTGGGGGGATGACAAGGAACCAACTGTGCTGTGACCCAATCTGAGTCCTTTTACTGGCCAGAGAAACTTTAACTCAACAGTTTAGTCTCTCCTATGTCACAAATAACTCAAGACAAAACTTCACACTTATGACCTTTCAGCCAGTAACAAAATAGAGCTGTACACTAAACTAAAGCAACCCTCCATAACAGGCCTACTTAGACAACTGTGATGGTATTTACACTTGCCCTGCATTTTATACAATTGTTGAATGTAAAGTCATGGCCAACATTCAGTGTTACTCTATGGATTTTCAGATTGTTTCTTCAATCTCACTTTGGTAACTCCAAATGCTTCTAGGGGAGTCCCTGTTTAAGGGGTTTTTTTTAATGTTCCACTTCCTGCTTCCTCTATCAGTTTTAATTGGATTTTATCCAACAGCTTGGGAGCTGAGGACTTCCTTCCTCTCCCCAAATGCACCACAGCAGCCTTGACACTTTATGGTTTTAGAAGTTTGGCCAAAATCATCTTGCTTTGGTAGGATTTGAGCCCAAAAAGTTTCTCTTTGCTTCAGCCGATTGATTTTATTTTTATGCCACCTCCACAATAGCTGAAATTGTCTGGACAGTTTACAAAGATTAAGACCTTAAAATATATTATAATTATTTTAATCATACAATATAAACTTAATAACAACAGTATGCTCTGTTTTATACTAACTGATAGGTATAAAGATGTGGAATGAGTACTACATATCCATTTTATTTTTAACAATTGTAATATTTTTGTTTTGTTTTTCCTTTCTTTAATGATGCAGTTTGGTTGTTTTTGCATTGCATAATAAAAACAACACAAATTTTAAAAGCATTATACAAACCACATACCTACAAACACATAAATGGCAGAACATGGAAAAACACTTATATATCTAAAGCACTATTAAATAATTAGCAGCAGGGAAAATCCATGAATTCATTCTTTTCTCTGTGCCCTCACTTTCAGCTTTTGGTCTTATGACCTGCTATTACAGCCGTGTTAATCTGCAGTAAGGTGATCCTGTCCATCCCAGAAGCCTGTGCGACTGATTCAAACCAGATTGGCTTCTGGTGCAGCGCTGTGACTGCTGTTTTGCATAAACTAATCTGATCTGAATCCTGCACAGTAAATGCACACAATGACCTTGCCCACAGCAGCAGGGCTGGAAATTAACACAGATGGCTTCTCATTTTGAAATGGTTGTGTGAAGAAGCTCTTGATTTCATTTTCTGAGAAATCCCACTTCCTTCTGTTGATCAGTAAAATAGCATTCACGCTGTATAGAATCATGTTATATAATTTGATCATCACATATAATGATAAAAAACTCACTTTGTGTTATTTATTGGGAAGAGGAAAAATTGCTGAAACAAAACAGATAATCCCCTAATTGCATTAGCTTCCAAGATTTCCTTGGAAATATGCAAACTGGAACTGCTGAATAGTAATGAACATGTTCTTAACTTCATAAAGGAATCTTGCCAAAAGTATGCTAACATTTGCATGCTAAAATTTGTTAAGCTTAGTACTGATTTTGTAATTGCAAATATAAGTTTGTTATTCATTAGAATATGTCTAACAGATCATGCCAAAATAAACTATACTTGGTTAAATATATATACGAGGAATAGTGTGGGATTTTATAATTAGCACAGACATCAAATCCTCCTTGCCCACTTATCCTCTTTTTTGTAATTCGCCTAAACTATCCTTCAAAAGCACTCTTAAAAAACAATTCCATATGCTTACTAATCCTAAATATCCAAGAAAAGTTATCATCGATAGCATCAAGTTAAGCCCTCCCACTGAAGGAACAGCTTCTCAGAGGAAAGGGAGGGGAACAATTCCCTTTCTCTATGTCCCCTCCTGGTGATATCAGCACCAGCTCTGGGAGGTTGGTGAACCCTCTAGAGGTATTTTTTCCCACATTAATCACTGTTTTACTACCCTGGGAGGAAAAATTTATTGACAACCAAGACCCAGGGTACTCAATCATTTGGAAAACATCATTCTCCTCTTAAAGGATGCAGAACATCTAGCATGTTGTAACTGGGCTCTCAGTAGAAAATCTTCCACTACCAAAAGAAGACAGTTTACAGATATATAAAGATGCAACCATTTGAGTGGCAATCTAAAAATATGAATCTTGGTGCAATCTAAAAATATGAATGCTTATTAGATGGCTTTACTACTGTGTAATGGTACACAGGATTTTAGCTTAATTACTCATTGTTTGATCCATAGAATATTTCTAATAGGATCTTTATTTTGAGAATGCTAAGAACAGGGGCATCCACTGCCCCCCAAAATTGAGCAGCATTAAATTTACAGGTTATGTTATTCTTACTTTGCATTGATTTAGCAATAAAAAGGCTACATGCTCTATGAAGATTACATAACATTAAAAAAAATCAGTCTTCCTAGAAGCAAAGGCCCCTTGCAAAATCTTAACCCAACAAAGTATCATCCTCGTCATGCTAAAGGGAACACCACATGTTCACTAGTTACAGAATAGATTTGTGACAGGAATGTGTGTGCAAAACTACTTTTCTCCTAAATAATTCTGGTCCTGGTATAACATCCAAACTAGCCGACATTTCCCCACTGCCACCAGTAATTAATGAGGCTTTAGGGGGAAAATCTCTTCAGGATTAAGTTACTCAGAAGAAGCTAGAAAGATCCGCTGCAATCTTACTGTCAGTCTAGGGGGATTTTGTTTGCTCTTTCTGAATGTGCATGAAATCTAGATTATCAATCCCTTTCACATAGAAACTGAGTAAATGGTAATAGTTCACTGCATACCTTCATGTTCAGCAGGATTTGGTACAGATACTGGGTTGAAAGCAGAGTCAGCCATAATACCTGGGACTGCAGAAACTCAGATTTGAGGGCCAAATCCATCCATCTTCCCTAGGGTCCCAATGTGGCCTCCAAGTGTTCCCCAGATGGCCATGCCTCATTCCCCTGCCCGCTCCTTCCCCCAGTCTCCAACTGTTTCATGGCTTCCTGCTTTTTCTGCAGCCTCCCCTCCTCCATTCTAAAAGGCTGAAATTCTTAGTTACCAGCAGTAAGAACCTTATACTAAAATATGCTGGCATTTTAGCTCTGCCTCTTTTCCTTTGGCCCCACGCACCAATGGAATGCAGCCCCCGAGAGCTTCTACAAAATGGAAATTGATCCTAGGGCTGAGAGGCTCATTCCCCTTGGTCTCCGTGGAGGATGACTAAGTCTGGATCAAGCCTATTTTTTCTCCATGTAATGCAAGTTCAAATCTACTATAGCTTCCATATACCTACTCTATAAAGTTCTGATAAATAATGCAGAAGAGGGATCATATGGACAGTGATGAAAGCGACACCATGCAAAAACAAACTATGAGCGTGGCAAGCATACTGTAACTTCCAGAAGAGAATCTATTATTTGTTTGTTTACTTTTTATTTATTTAAAACTTTTATAGCTTTTAGGAGAGCATCGTACTTGTAAATAGATTTGTCTTCCTTCTTACACCTGCTTTTTCAGCAGCATCCTTGAGCTTAGGTTTTATCTCATGCTATCCATTCTACAATATTTCCAGGTAACTTTTGCACCTCCTCTAATGTTCAGGGAGGGGAATTTAGATGATTGCATTAATTAGCACAACACCTTGATGCCTTTAAAACCAAACTTCACAGCACCACCCCCTCATCAACACTGACTCTCCCCAAACAAGGAAAGAGGAGTCAGTTGTGCCCAGTAGCACATATTGTAATGAGATGACAAATCAATCTGCCTATGCCCTTGTAGAAATCTGTAATAGCAGACTACCTGCCTGGTTTTTCAGCACTGGTTTTGGTGAACAGCACTGCTGTAACCTGTTATAGCCACCAGGTGGCAATAGGTCCCATCATCAATTTTACACTGTACACTCCCAAGAAAAGACAGTGCCTCCTTCCAAGCATACACAGACAAATTACAGGAAAGTGCACACATCTCCTGCATAATAGCTGGCTGCCCTTGTGCCCTAAACTAATATGAAAAATAATTACATGCTTCATGTATGAGTAAGAGATAGTGCAGAGCAGTGCGGTAGAACAGCTTTATTAGCACGATTCTGGAGCAGTGGTATTGCTCACAGTCAGGTGAGGCAAGCTGCATTAAAACCGGCTTCCACCTCATCCTAGGTGGCCTCTGCAAGTCACCCACTGGCTGAACACCCACAATGGATTTGTTCACCCAGAATGGATGCCTGTAAACATACGCTCTGCTAAGCCTGACTAAGCCACAGTACCAAGTCCCCTCTCCGGCTCACACGGTATTCAGATGGCAGCAGGACTGTTTCGAAGTTCCACACGGTCTGGAATGTGCAGAGGGTATGGAGTGACAAGAACAGCAGAGCAATGGGTGGAACAAGCATGGCTTGCCCCATCCTTCTTCTCGTAGGTTCCTTGTGTCCACAGGAGGGGAAATGGGGTTACACACTGCTTTGCTCTGGCCTTCTCTTAATCAGATGGCTGTTGTTCCTGTTTTGGTTGCTGTTTTCATTGCTGTTTTGTCACTTGTGCTTAACTGTGCTGTTATCATTCTGAGGTTGTTTTTGTTTTATTTTGCTATATGTCATATACCTTGAGTGCACTTTTGCCCTGAAAAGCCACCAAGAACTATAATAAAGAAATATGTGGGGATGTGCCTACAGACAAACATAAGGTATCCCACATAAAGGGCAGTATTTGTTTTAGAGGATCCTAAGAGCTGATTGATGCCTAGAGGAACTTTATTCCTTTGCAGTGAGCTTTCACACAATTACTTGCAGCTGAACGTGTTAACTTCCTCCACTGAGCTATCCCATGCTAGAGATGGTTGGCTGGATGTGCTTCTATCCCTCCTTATGGCTGTTCAACTCATGCAAGTTGCAGGCTTTGACCATGCATGTGCAAATGCACCCTCAATTTTATCCCGTAACAACAGGCAAAGGGCTAATTGGGGAAGAACATTTAGGGCAGTTTGCACAAGCTCTTCGTAATGCATGCAGGATGCTACTTAAATCAAATGTATAGCAGCTACCGCATATAAAAAATTGGTGGCTTTGCCCAGAGGTATAAGAGAACCTTGTAGAAATAGAAGCTAGTTTTACCCTTGCATAATGGTTTCCCAGATAAAAAATCAGAGAGTTGTCCATTTAAGCAAAGAAATAATAAACAAAGCAGCTGTGCAGGTTACCTGGTTGGAATCCTGAAGTCCGCATTTGTGCCTAATTTGTAAGCAACTTGTAAGTCTGTGGAGCCCACCACACGCTGGATAATGCCTGTGGAAGCAGCTTTCTCAAGCTGGAACTGTGAAATCAGATCATACCCTAAAAGAACAGATATGTGCATTTGAAAAATGTTTCAATGGAGAAATTATCCAGCTAAATAAGATTAGATTGTTCTTCCCTGCTTTGTTCTCTTTTCTGATACAAGTCCTGTTGCTTTTAAAACTCATTTTCCCCACTGTTTTAAAGTGAAATATTTAGCTCATTCTTTTGGATTTTAAACAATGCTTGCAAGTTATGATTGACAGGAAGTGTCTGTGTGTGCATTAATAAATAGTTTATTTATTAAACATTTTTCAACCAGCTGTGATTTCTCAAAATAAGGAGGCAGTCCTCAAAAGGGTTTTCCCAAAATGGTTAATTTAAAAGAAGCGTGCATATGGAGGATTGCATATACTTGCCTGGTAGGTCATCTTGGCCAATCCTGGTTGGTGGGCAGAGGTCAGCGTTGGTGTCTGAACTGAACGTAACTGGAAACCCTGCAAGGCACATTGGATGCATTATCTCTGTGCGTTGTGCTGCTGGATGGTATGTGACCATGAGCCATTTCCTGAAAGATGAGCTCCGAGAACTGAATGACACTTTCGCCCAAGCAAATTTTTTAAGGACAGAAATAGGCAATTCTGGAAGATCCAGGGAATATGTTTGCCAATTGGACTCTCCTGGGTTCTTTTACTACCATTGCTAAGGCAGGGGTCAAATTCAGTGGCAGCAAAACAAACACAGTCAATTTGCTGTCAATTTTGAGCGGTAATCCACTATGAAAGGCAAAAATGGCTACATTTATCTTGAAATTCAGCAGAAATCTAACAAGTCCTTTTGCCAGCACAAATTTGGTGGCATGGTAGCAGGGCCACACGAGGGGATGATGGGGCCTGCATGTGGCCCACAGGCCATGGGCTGTCCACTGATTTATGATCAGAGCATAAATTCTCAGGGGCAGATATAACATGAAGTCACAACAGCAAAACAGGCCGAACCCTGGGACAAGGGAGGGCCATGGACCAAGACCAGCAGGATTCTCCCCCCACATCCACACAGGCCAGACGATGGAGGCCCTGAGGCAGGTTTTCGTGTCAGGCTAAGGCACCCTACAAAATAAGCCACGGGGGTTGGTTGTTCACTGAGCTCTTGGTCCCCCTAGTGGGCAGTCAGGCTTGCTCTCCGTTGTTCTCTCCCGCCTTCCTCCCGCTGGCTCCGGCACGTATCCCAGCAGGCATGCCTTCTGTTCCCTTTCCCTACCCCTTCTTGCTTGCTGCTTTCCTCCCCTCCAAACCTTAAAAAGCCAAAAGCGGGCTCAGTTTTTTATTTTATTTGCTTTGGTCCTGAAATTTGGAAAACATTTCCATAAACTGTGAGTGGTGGTCTCTGTTGAGAGTGCTCTTACAGCTGTGTGGTCTTGACTGTTTGATACTCTTATGCATTTCTGCTGTCAAAGGGAGTCGCAAAGTTAACTGCCATGACAACTGACAAGGTGAGACAACAGAGGTGGTGAGCAGGAGGGGCTTTGGCGTCTTTGCTGAGCAGCTCACTGCCCAGCCCCACAACCCACCATGAAATGGCTCTCCTGGGTCAGAGGACACAACAACCCATCATGGTACAAAGAACCCCTTGAACAAACTGGGAGTTGTCGGGGGAGCTTATTCCCAAAAAATTAGCCACCCAGCAGAAAGTGCTCTGGGTTGAAGTGACACAAACCCTACTGTGGCTCGCTACCGGCAAGAGGCTATCTTGTTAGACAAACCAAGTCCTGGTGTTCACATCTTGGGCCATGTACCCAACAGAAGGCACTGCACAGCATCAGTTCTCTTCCCTGCTATTTCTGAGGATCGGCGACCTCCCTTGACATAGGCTTGCAATATAAAGGGCTCCACAGTGCAGAGTTATTTGTGGTTTGGAAACCCTTTAAAAAATTCTAGCTTGCGAGTTAGCTAAGTCAACACCCACACTTAAAACAAACAAGTGCCAAGTTTTGCTCCAGCAAAACCAACAGTTAGGAATCCAAGCTCTTGGCATCCTTCCCTTTGCTTTTGATATTTCAGACACCCCCATTCCTTCATTTCCCATTTTTGATCACACAGCAAACCCCAAAAGTGAATGCAAATGTGGGAAGGCAGGGGTTCTGGATCAGTGCATAGCAGAAAGCTTCTTAGAAGAACACACAGTCGTTTCAATGTTGAAAGACCCACTTGCTTTCTAAAGAACCACTGTGGCCACTTGAAGGGTGGGGAAATATCCCAGGCCATTCATGTACCAAAAAGGAAAATTAAACATTGGTTTGAGTTAACTTCAGGGATTCAACCTATGCAACATTTCAAGTCAAGCTGGAAAATGTCTCTAGAGGATGGAAAAAAGACAGTTTGAAACAAGGCACCTTTCTAGCATATACAGATCTTCTTGTCTGTCGTAAAAACTGACACTTAACTGTAGAATCCCCTGCCATTTCCCCCGCCTAAATTATTGCCTAAATATAGTAAACTTATTACCTCTTTTGTCTCATGAGCTGAACTTGCTATACATTTGGGGAATTACTTAATTAAATGCCCATTTACTGTCCATTATTACTTGTTCTACACAGTTGATGATATGGTGGTCATAAGAAATTAGATTTACAGTATGGGAAACTTGGTGGCCACCACCATGTTGATGCGCTTAAGCACTCGTGCTTGAATGAAACTTTGATCTTTTTGCTGAACTAACCTCTGCTAGTATAGGCTTTTTTCTGCTTTTTTCAGGCTATACAGAACTCTTTTTCAACTGAGCTCTTACTAGTTTGATCCCATTTGTATCTAGAAAAGTTTGGTCCAGTGAATGCTTCTTGATGCCTATTTCTAAATCTTTAATTTAGAAATGTAATACGTTTTTCTTTAGCATTCAAAAAGGAGGAGAATGGAAAATTTAAGAGAGAAGATTCAAATGCGAAATATCAAAAGGTCCTAATCTTTCATAAATTCCAGTTCCTGTCTCATTCTCCTGACTCACTCATCTGCATACACAAGAACTGAATCCCACTGATAATGGCTTTAGACTTTTCCATATAGCTATGGCAGAACCGCTTTGACTGCCAAGTTCTTTACTAAATACAGTAAAGAAGATCCTTACTTGTTTGCTGTTGAACAGTAGCTGGTGTCAGAAGCCCCAGAAAACACCACATGTAACACAAAACCCGATATTGCCTGTAAAGAAATAAAGACAACTTAAGCATGAATGCACCGAGCCTAATAATGTCACCCACTTTCATCTCATATTCATGCATATTAAATACATAAATGTGTGACTTAAATCTTGGCTCATACTGTTGAGAAGCAAAGCTCTTTAACATTTCAGGTTTGTGATTTATTTTATTTTCCGAGTGCAACAAAATGCCTGATTTTGAATAGCTGTCACAGGAACCCTGCCTTACATACACAACTGTCATAGGAAGAGGAGAAGAAACTGAGAGCTGAGCTAGGAAAGACCATTGAAAATGCACTAAATTGACCTTTCTTCCCTTTTGGTGTCTGCTCTTATTTAGAAATATGGATTGCTTACCGGTTGTTCTTCATTTCCCCCTGTCCTGGTGTTTAGGTATCTAGGAGACGGGACGTCTTGTCTTTGGTTCCCATCAAAGGAGGAGTGGAAGTGTCCCTGAACCAATGTTCTTAGCCCCTCGGAGAGCGCCTTTGGTGGAAAGAAATTTGAAGAGCAGGGACTGTTTTAATAATCCTGATGAGAGGTGGAGGTGGGCAGTGGGCAGGCCTACATGCTCTCAAGTGATGCGAGGGAGGAATTGAGCTGGGGTATAAAAAGTGGAGAAGAAAACCACTGAGGGAGTGGATATAACTAGGAACTCATGGGCTGGACAGTGAGTGAGTGAGTGAGATGCTGATGGAAGAGCAACCTGGAGTTAGAACTTGGAGGCGACCCAGGATGATTATGTATATTTTGGCAATGCTACTCAACTGGGGAAGTTCAAATGCTCGGGAAAAGGAGTCTTTCATTTCTCCCTGACTTCCTAATGAGGCAGTCTCTCAGCTGCCAGTCCTGTGCTACAGCAACAGAAGCAGCCGATTTATGTAGGGTCACTGCTTAAATATGCATCCTGCCAATGAGTACAGATTACCTAGTTACATTTTCTGCCCCAGATGGCTAATTAGTCCCCCAGTGGCTTTCACTGGAATCTACTGGAAGCACACCCAGCCACATGTGCAGATGTGATGATGGGGAGGCAAGCTCCCCGAAGCTCACAAGCCCAGGGACCTCTGACGGTGGGGAGAAGAGCTGGACGGCTTGGTTCAGCTGGGGCAGGCCAGTGCTGCTGTGCCCCTCTTGCAGATGCTTGGCCGGGACAGCAAGAACAGTGCCTGGCCTAGGGCCATCCTGTGGGCTCACGGCTCAAGCACGTGGGCATAAGGGGCAGCTTTATACTGAGACCAGGTATTGTCCATGGTGACTTTCTGGGTTCCGGACAAAGAGGTCCTTCTCAGTGTTAATGCCTGATGGCCAAAATAAAGCATGTCTCTGCATGTAATGGGCATGCTAGACATGAAACAAGGAGCAGAACAGGAGTGGTGGGATGGCCATTATTGGGAGCACAGTGCAAGGGAAGCGACCTTGACAAACATCCCCTCTCCAAGGCAACTGTTTGCACTGGGGGAAAGGTCCCTGTTGGCACCCACAACAAGCAAGATTCAGGTTTTGGTCCTGCGATCTCTGACTGAAGGTGCCACAAGCTGGATCTGAAATCTTCTGCAAAGTAAAGCATGCCCTCTGCTACTAAGCAATGGCCTCTCCCGAAACGCTTGAGGCTCTGGCTTGTACCGAGGCCCAAGTGGCTGTGGTGGGAAGGGGAAGTGGTCCTGGCTGCGTTTGCACAGTTTCCCACTGGCACACTTTTCGTAGGACAATCAGCAATCTGGGGCTGCTGAGGGAGGGCAGACCAGGGCATGTGCTGCAACTGCTTAAAGGGAGCTGCAGCCTCGCTTGGCCTCTCTCCCTGCACTGACCTCCACAGAGTTGCCAGAACCACCCGCCCTCCGAGCATCAGTTCACTGCTGCAGGCATCCGTCAGCCACTGGCTGATGGGGCCGGGAGGAATTTTACCTGGAGAGGCTGACTGGCTGAGATTTTTCCCCCCTTTCCACAGCAATGCAAGTTGGTGGGAAGTTCATGGCCAGGCAGGGCTGTCGAACATTTTTAGGTGGATGGCTTTGGGATGAATCCATTTCAAAGGGAAGGAGGTACAAGCCATCTGCCTTACTCAGATGAGGGTGGTTCTTGGGGGTGGCGCCAGGGGCCTGCAGCCCAGCTTGGGGGATTCATGCCGGCCCCACTCCTGGAGAAGCAGGGACCCATGCAAATGGCACACACTGCGGCAGGATCTACCCATAATCCAGCAAAACCTCCCTTGCTGACGCGCCACCTAGCAAGTGAGCAGGAGTGTCGATTGGGCAGCAGGTGGGCTGCCTGGTTAAGGGATTGTTCCACATGCCAATTGTTCCGCAACCAAGAAGGATGCGGCC